GGCGGCAGCGGCGCCCCCACTTGTGCGAGTCTCTCCCCCTACCCGTGGCGTGACGGCCGCTGGTGACAGGAGGCCCGGCCAGACCGACCCCGGCTAAACTGCAGTAAACTACACGGTCGCCACTAAAGGCACCGCCAGGCGCCAGAAGTCCAAAGAGCAACACACCGGAGCCTTGCTTCTCCCTCCCCCCTCACCGCTGGTGACAGGAGGCCCGGCCAGACCGACCCCGGCTAAACTGCAGTAAACTACACGGTCGCCACTAAAGGCACCGCCAGGCGCCAGAAGTCCAAAGAGCAACACACCGGAGCCTTGCTTCTCCCTCCCCCCTCAAGAGGAGCAGGGGAGACATCTTTCAACACCAGAACACCAGGCTCCGTCCTGCACGTCTCCCAGCAGTCAATCAATTCCTGCCGAGGAGGGCAAAACCTGCAAGCAAGCCCACCGACGACACACGACTCGGAGCAGAGCCTCCGGTATTCCGACTCCGTCAGCCAGTTTCAAACACATCCATCCTCCAGGAGCCAGGTCCTACAGAGAGGCGTGCAGGGCAGGGGAGAGCACGCCTGTGGGCAGCAACAAGCAGGGGATAATGCAAGGGGGTCTCTGCTGCTCACTCGGTGTATCGTAAAACTATGGCCTCTGCTGAGGGTCTGTCTTGATGTTGTGCAGTGAAGAACCGTGTTGCAGAAATCTGCAGTAACCGCTGAGGAAAAAAACCGGTTTGTTTCTTTAGTCTAAGGAAATTTGCTTTAAAATAAAGCCTGATTTAATTAGGAAGAATGGTGCATTTCCTCCCCTGCTACCATACCTTGACATAACTAGTACTAACAAGTAAAAAAACCTTACCATCAGTTAAGTTAATTGGAGGGAACTAACTTGATTTAAAAACAAAAAAGAAGTTGCCCAGCCTAGACAACGCTAGTTAAACATACAGTCTCCCACATGCGACGTGCTTGATCTCGAGCAGCTTCAGTGATTCACAGCACAGAATTAAGGTATGGCTGTCCACCCACAAAACAACTACATGAAATTGTTTCGTAGCTGATCCACAAAAATCAAGGATTTTCCGCTCTGGGTAAACAAGGCTTGCAGATTTAGCATACTTCAAAATCAATTTTCCTTTCAGTATAGAAAAGGTCTGCTGCAGAAACGCATAAACAACATAATACGAGTTAGAAATACAGGTATATTGGTAGATCCTTTCCAATCCAGCCCTGGGCACAGAAATTATCCCTAAGCCAAGAAGAAAAGCATTTTAGCCATTTTATTTAGAAAAGTTAGGACAGCTGTCTCAAGGCCTTGCAGGAATTCTGTGCTAGCCCACACAGTCAATATTGTCCCGCTTAACTGGGATCACCACTGTATCCTACTGCATGTCTGTGTCCGTACTTAAGTCATTTCCCAAGGCATGGGTTACCTCTTTTAATCTCTCTGACACTTGTGAAATTCACATTTTTAGACAAGAGTGGCAACTACCTCATTCTCAAAGTGCAGGGATGAAAAGCGTTTCGTTGATTCTCTCAAACTAGAAATTCCTGTCATAACTTGCTAAGACCTTCTTTTGCCGATAGCTTTCCCTCCCCTACCCAGTGAACTGCTATTTCACATTCTTGCATATTTTCAAGAAGACATGCCAGCAGCTGGATTGTAGAATGGGAAGAATAGCTGTCAGGCAGCAGAGTATCATCGTTACCCACTGGTAACCAACCCTGCCCTGTGACTCCACCAGCCCTAACACTCCAACAGTCAGCAGACCATTAGTTTACACAGCTCTTATCTCATGGCCGTTTGGTTTCAAACCCAAACTAAATTACCAAGTCATAACTCCACCCACCTGAATTTAGTCCAAATGCTTCAGGCGTTTTTCTGAGTGAATCAACATGTCTCTTTATCGGCAAGCAAGGAGATTTATCGCATTTATCATCACTTGTAAAAGTCAAGTGTCTTAGAACAGAATACCAAGAAGAATTCAGCTAATGAGAAGTATTTCTGAAGTGAGAAGGGGGAAGCCTCGTGAGACGCAGGGTAGTATGCAAAGAATATTACACCTTGAATACATTATGTATGCATCCTATTCAGGTACACACCTCAGTTCTGTTCAAAATTAGTGGCAAAATTCCCCATCGATATTGGTGGAATAAGATCAGTTCAGAGTTTTATATCTTTTCCGTGGTGGCTAGGAATTTCCCCAGTGCGCAGACTAAGGATTACAGTGAAGGACCACTGCGAGCCGTTTGCCGTGTAGACAGAAAAGCCAGTGTGATCGAGCGCAGGGGCCAGCCGTGGGTGACGCAGAAGCCTAGGAGAGCAGGGAGACAGACGGCACGCTGGGCCAGAGGGCTGGCACGGGGCTCCCTGCTGAGGCACCCCGCGAGGGGCAGCAGTGCGGGGCAGCCTCTCGCTGGCTCCCACTCACCCCTGAGCTCAGAAGCAACTGCAGCTGCTGACTTGCAGAGCAGTAAAACACCAGCAGCGAGGTAAACATTGGCATCTTGCCTCTTCGGAAGACTGTCCCCCAGCTTCTTCTGACTCTTTGCTGGAATACTTAATACAACTTATTTAAGAAAGGAGAATACAGTCTCACACGGCACCACTGAAAGATCATTAACTGCTGGCTTAGAGACTACAGCAGCATCAGAACATCTGACATATGGCCATCAAGTAACTCACTGTAATCTTAGGCAAGCCACCAAATTTATTAGGGTGTCGATTTCCCCATTTCTAAGACAGGAATAATACTAACTCATTTAGCAAAAGATTTGCAACACTGACAGATGAAAACTGTACATCAAGACCAAAGTATTTGCCCTACCAAAGGCCGATTAGAAGTACCAATAGCGCAGAGCTGCACTTTAGCCTTGTGGGCTAATATACAACAGTCTAATCTTTCCATTCAGATTTCAGAATACCAACTGCAGATGTCGCAGTATCTTATTTAATGAGGATTTCCAGCCATCTCCCTATACTCCTTTATCTCTTATCCTCCTCTAGATTGGAATCCCTGATAACCTCCC